CTACATCAGATATCAAGTAACGAAACAGATACCTACATTTCACAAATGATACTACATCGATAAATAAGTAGATTCATAATGTCAAATTATACCCAATTTGAGTTATTTTTAATCACATCTACAGGTCGCACTGTACCAAATAATATCGTTAATTTGTATAATAAAACAATTTAACGTAAGAAAATGTATTAAATTTAACTCAAATTTAGTTTATTATTTACTAAGTGCATACGTTAATATACATGATGTTAATTTTGAAATAATCACAGAAATAGATTGATTTACATTCTGACATTGATGAAAGTTAAAAATGAAGTGTTATTTAATTAAATAGATTGGGTTATCATTGCTTGCTCCTTTAATATTTAACAATGTACATACATTTTATGTGTTAAAAAACTGCATGACTTCCTTACGTCGATATCTTCACAATATATGATTTAAATTGTGTGTGCTTGACTGGTTCAAAATCCAAATTTGTTAAACAGTAGCCAAAAGATAGAAAGAAAAGAAGGAATTTACAATATGAAGGAGAGATAGGAGGTATGTCGCAATTCGACACGTCAATTCGATTGACAAAGTGTTTCGTTATACGTCGACATTAATGTTATTGATGAGAAACAACGGTCGTGACAATAGAGGCCGGCCTCCGACGTAACCCACAATCGCGGCCGTGTATCTGCATGCCAGAACCTTGACGAGAGCGCGGCCAGGGCTGCCAATCAATGACGAGGACATCACCCTCGACGACTAACGTCTGCGTCCTTGATCGTCCGTTCGCCGCCGCGTCGAACGCGGCGACTAAAGCCACTACACGTTCGGAATACTTGAGGCACCGAGGTCGAGTCAGGGCTAAATTCCAGGGCTAACTAACGGTAAGGAAAGTACAATAGCATCTTCTGCAGGTGTATGAATTTAAAGGAGAAAGAGCTACATTTGCCGCGATAGAGTCAAATGGCTCGAGGACGTAAGTGCAAGCGGACAATCTATACTAGATGCTTCATGCGAACATACCGATTAATCATTGCATGCAATTGCGGACATCGATTGATAATTTCTAATGTGAATTAAATACATATGTTATGCAAATAGATTGCATCAATAGATGAATAAATATAATCTTGAAATATATAATACATATGAAATATGCATATTTGTCATGTATATATAATATTTTTAATTAAATATATATTGATGAAAAAAGTTGATCGAAATTTAAATGTCTAATGATAATTGAAAAGATGGTTAGAAAATTAATTAAAAATTTGTAAGTTTCTGTAGTAAATTTATTTCTCTTTATTGCTAATAAAAATGAAAATTTCATTCTTACAGATTTTACAGATAAGATTTAGATAAATACTGCACTAATTTCTTAATTGATCATGCGGTTAATTGATTGATCGGATATTTGTTTATTTCGATACACAAATAACGATGTCGCAACATTATAAATTTTTTATGATAATTATTAAACCATCTATTGTGTAATTCCTTACAATAATACCGACATCGAAATTAAACAGTCCCGTACGATGCACTCTTGTGAAATTACAAAAACCACGAGAAACTAGAAAAACCAACGGACCAGCGAAACATGTTTTGTAATTCAGCGCATGAATAGAATCAAGCGCTCGTGTCTGCGTGTTTGCCATATGAATGAGTGTGCATCGAATTGTCGAATACGAATAAAGGATTTTTGTGTGTATGCATGTGTTCCATGTACAAACATAATAAAAGAACTTTCTAGGTCACATTAAGGTAATGCACCGCGGTTACCGAGTCGAAATTTGTCTAAAAGTTAAGTGAATGAAAAAACAAGCACGAAAAACCAACGAGCTGAATTTGAATAAAAAAAACTAGTGAGCATCTTCTAGTAGTGAGTAATTTACATATGATCATCTCGAGAAGATGAACATTCGTATGATGTTGCGAGCGACTTCGATGTTTATTCACCAAATATTTTACCATTAGTAGAAGATATTTCACAAATTCTATAATGAATTATTTTTCTGTAATATACATAATAATCATTTTTATATTCTATAATTCTATAATATTTTTCTAAAATAAATCATAAATAAATTCTTCTCAATAATTATTTAACAAAGCGTGTTATATAGAGCTCAAAAAATACGTTACCAGTTACTTTTTAAATCAATGTGAAATATTTTCACAATAAAATCTTAAATTATATTTTTTACTGGTAACTAAGGTGACCAAATAAAATTGATATTAAAAATGTATAATATGTTAGCTATTGTGTTCATATATAATTTAATTTATTAAATTTTAATTTTAATGGAAAATATCTACAGAAGTATTACGTTCTGGAATTTGTTATTAGAATATTTGCGGTCATGGTCATGGAACGCGCTGAATATTTCAAGATGATGTTATAAAACATGCCCATCGTCAACATGCCACATTGTTTGCACAAATGTCGTTCTTAATAGATTCGTGACTCTCAGATCTATCCCTAACTAATCTCACTCATCGTGCCAATAACAACCATAAACTATAAATACAAAATTGCGGCATAATCTCGCATCTTCGAGCGCCGGTGATTATATCCCACGCAACTTCACACATCGATTGCATCCTGTGTCAAGGTTATTTACTTTTATTCTTCCGACGCGCATTATGAATTTCTGATCAGCGTTGGGACACGTGCCCCAAGTCGATGAGAAATATTTATAACGTTATCGACCGTATTTCCGCGATGAGCGATCGAGCTAGTAAACGAAGTGCATATCATTTGTAATTACCAATTAGAAATTCGTAATTTATAATAACGCAAATTATTAATGCCATCAAACGGATGCTGCTTTTTCTAATAGAGACATCACGACAGAACATTAACGAACATTTACTGAAAACATATAATTCACGACCGAAATAAAAAGAGATTTCACGATCATCTTCGTAATGGCTCAAGCAATCATATAATTGGATAAAATCCTGCGAGCAATAGAAAATTGATAATTTCTTCGCTGGCAAATACGCAATTATTGACCCGTATTTACGTGGACCTCTTTCGAGTCAAGACGTATATAGCCGGCTGAAAAAAGCACCGACGATGTCGGTGCCGACGGCAAACCCTCCCGTGTATAAAAAGCCATTGCAATCACGCGGTGTACTGGCACGCTAATGGGGCATTGATATAATTAACTACTATACCTGCACGCTCTTATCGAACCCAGCTCGTACGTCGCTGAAGCCGCCGCCGTCGCTGTCGCCACGAACGCATGCCTGGAACAAAAATAGCATCGTTGTATACCTATCTACTGTGCTCCGAGTATCGCGCGTATTCTCTTGGCTAAAGGTGAACCTGATATCACATTTAGCGTCTGAGACGGATTAAATTTAATTTTCGGTTAAATTCAATTCTCATTTAATTCATTTTTTTAATATAATATGTAAGAAATCAATAATAAATGACATTTATAATCCCCATCATTTTACACTTGTCTCCTGAATTTTTAATTTTTTCAATATTGATTTATTATTAGTTTTAAGTACGATTGGATTTGGCAGATTACAAAGTATAAGACTTCATAAGATTGCATAGTTAATTAATTCTAAAAAATGTAATAGTATCTTTTTTAACATCAGAAATGTATCAAAGTATAATTCAATTTCAATAAAGTATCATTAAGAGTCAATCAATTCAGCTTGAAAAGGAAAAATCGAATCTACATTTTTATTTTTCAATCATCTTCATAATTTAAAACTTTTATTCAAGATCAATTGTATTAAACGTAATATTGCAAATTGTAAAATTATGTAACAAATTAAATTTACCAAAGAATTTATAATAATTTATAATAAAGCAGCTCAAATGTCTAAAACATTTTATATATGAAACACGCAAGACACAACCGACGTTTACGCGCACGCTCGTGCGCACGCAATTCCCTCATTTTCGCGGATTTCTGCTTCTTGATTTGCGTCAATGTGCATTACGTCTTCGCGCGGGAGCTGTATTTTTATTTAACCCAGAACGAAGTGAGCACGTCGGGCGAAAGTATTGCGTCTATAATGATGGCGAGGGAAGTGGATGGAAGGATATCATGAGCGCGCACAAGCCGGGTAAAATCGAGAAGCAGAATATATGAGAGAGAAAAATATCTCCGAGGATTGGATACGTGCGTAAAGAGAGAACGTCGAATTAAGGGCTAAACGGAATTTTACGCGCGAATTTGCAGGAGTTTCTCATATTTTCTAACGTATCCGCAATATGCCCGGCTTTAGCACACTAGAAATACACTTCACTTTTTCATCATCCAAAACATGCACCACGCCCATGTTCGAGGATATACGTATGCAGGAGTAATCTCCTCCGTGTGCCAAAAACAGCATATATCAATGCGAGATAGAAATATAAATACGTATAAATTGAGAAATTTTGAAATATTTCTCATTTATCATTTTTCATCATGAAAAATCATCTACAAAATTGCAATTTTGCTAATCACTTCTCTAATGTTACAATCTCTTTATCGTTCGTAAAACAAAGTAAGGAAACTGTCGTCCTGTGTCCACATTATGTATTACGTATCTGACTAATCACGTTTTAAAAACATAAATAGTATCAGCCAACATTTAGAAAAAACTTATATATTTTAAACTAAATATATATAAGAGATAAAAATATAGGATTGCTTTGTAGTATGAATTTATTAATTTATCGCTGTTATTTAGAATATAATTACCTTATTGCTGAAATAACTTCCATAATTTTTTGTTAAATGTAACTTACTCACTGCTTCTCGTATTTCTATTTGTTCTCTAGCATTATATTCTATAATATTTTGCGAATTTGTGAATAGGTTCAAAATTTTCCTTAGTCTCCTACGCCAGATTTTAGCATACTTTTCGAGGTGCGCCAAAAGTTCGCGTGCACCTGATCCAAGATTGACTCACATACCTTGAGTAGAAACAGCACGATACCAACGACGACGTGCCGACCTTACTTTATTATCAGCCATCATAAGTACGCCTGCACGCAGGTTGAATTTTCTCTCTCGTGACTTTTTCCCTCCCTCATAAATTCAGTGAACGAAATGCTAATGTATGTTAATGTTAAATCGATGCCATTCGCGCAGTTGCGAATCGATATATGCAGGTGGTCGATTAAACACGCAGTGTACAGGTCATAGATCCGCTGTTGATCCTAAAAATACAAAGGCAACAAACGATGCGCGAGCACATATCCCACCTCGTTCCACTGCACTTGATTAAAAGCAATTTTCGGATCCATCCACGTGTTGACGTGATTAATTTCGCGTCCGATAGATGAACGAATCTCGCATGGGCATTAAGTACAACGAAGAAATCAGAGTAATCCGCGCGTTGGCCACTGCCGCACGTGTGACTTCAATTCCCTCGTACGAAACTCGGAAGTTCACGTCTACATGGAAATCAAAAGCCGAGCCTTGTCAAACAAAGCTTGAATATTCATGATTAATATTTGAATATTACAAACTGCAGTTGCGGGAATAGGATGGAAGGGAGCTCTTTACTAGTCCTAGAATGTTGAATGGTTACCGCTTAACATTAATATACTTTTAAACATATGAGAAAGAGAGAGAGAAAGAGAAGGAGAGAATTACATGCTGCTAGATAGAACACAATATACTATTAATAATGAGCAATTTACATAAACTTCATTTACCATAATTATAAGATAATGTCGCTGCATTGTACTGACGGAAAATTGGTATGCGTTAAGGCTATGTTTGGAATTAAGTCTATGTATTTTCGTTGTGGTACGATATTTTCTATTTTAGTTAAGGATGTATCAAACCATTTCACACTTGAATAAATTTCTTTGAAACGTATAATGTTTTCGCAACTATTCTTTTAATATATTTGATAATATCAAAAAGCAAAATCAACGAAATCGGACTATAATTAATTTCTAAGTAGTAATTAATATTCAAATATAAATGTATATTTATATATGAATTTAAAAATAAAGTTTTCTTTATTTATAGTATATTTATAGTATGCACCTTCTGTTAATCCTATAATGCTTACATAAAATTATTTTTTGTATGAGTAATTGTATTTTAAATTCTTAAATGTATATTATAAAAGAAATGATCTTGATAATATATATAAGTTTACCGCATAGTAAGAAATATATGCGAACAATGAATAAATGCATTTGCATGATACCTATACTTTCAAAACGATATTAGGTTTATCGATAATTCGCGTTGAACAATCTAGAAATAGTTCATGGAAAAGTTAAAATACTTGTTCGTCAAGAACTATTCTCGTTGCTCAGTTCGAAGCTCTGTCTCACGAAATCTTCAACAATATTCGCAATCTATCTAACCTCTATCTAGCTGAAAACCATTTTGATAACCGGATCGAACTTGCGCGGATGTTAGATACGATAGAGAAGTCGGAGTAATCCAAGCCGTTAGTTCCGCATGTAAAGCAGCTGCGTACTCGTATTAGTGCTATTGCACTTGTACATATAATACGCTTGTAACGTATTGTAAATCGAAGCTTAAACTACATACCTACTACAGAATAATGTAATCGATATATACATATTACTTTAGTTAACTATTATACTGTTTTGGAATAAATAAATATAATAAATAATGGTTATAATAAAAATTACACCATAAAATTTTTTTACAATATATATCTAATATTTGTAGAATCTTAACTAAGTCAGCAGCCAGATTACATTAATATTTCGGTTTACCATTTAATTTACAAAACAGAGCAGATTTAAAAATCATTATATATTTAGAAAAAATGAAAATTTTATATATATATATATATATATATATATATACACACATATGTATTATATATACGTGTATATGTACAATATCAATGTAATATTTAGTATATAATTAAATTACATTATAAATTATTAAAAAAAGTGCATTTTTCCTATTTAATAATCATGAATTCATGTACTATATTAAAATATTAACGTAATAACTAATTTAATTCTTGTTAATATCTTAATAATGTGATTTCTCAACCACCCTATTCGCAAAGCACGTCCTGTAACATGGTTAATTCCTTATCCACGTCCGGTAGCCGGATATAACTCGTTGGACACAACGGAGAAATCAGAGTAATCCTACATCGCGTATAGAACTCTGCCGTGTTCGTGTACTTCGATCCTCACACGTGCATATAGACGGTTGTACATATATCTCATACCGAAATCGGAGTGTTATTAAGCACAGCTCGAATATTCATGATCGATATCCGGCGCTCTTTAATTAATGTCTGGATAATATAGCTTGCAAGCGACTCACTTGAGATATCCCACCTCACATGCTTTAATTATAAAATCACGAACACGAATCGATCGTTTACCGTTGTAATATATGGTATTAGGAAATGCTAAATATAACTTCGTTAAAATAAGGTAGAAAAAAATTTAAATTTCGTGGTAACTAAAATTAAAGTTCTACGGCCACATACATTATATTCTAAGATATAACTAAATTTCTGCTCGCACATGAAACTCTTTTAATTTAAATCGATTAAAAATAAAGCATTTAATTGGAAGATAAATATTCTTGTATAAGTGTTCCCGTAAAAATGATAATAATATAATTATCTCTTTCTCATTGTCATCGTCGTCACACACTCCTCTTCTGTTTCCAAATGAAAAAGTTATCTATAGTTTTTCAAACATGAGAAACTATTTGGAAACTTCGAACATTACTTAAAAGCTGTCGGTAATCTCAAATCCGCCGAACTAAAAACCATTGGCATATGCCACAAGATTTCCGAGTAACACGATTAATGGCTCATCCACATCCGCTAACCGAATGGCGACTGTGGAGGTACAACGGAGAAATCGGAGTAATCCGGTATAATAAGTCGGTCGCAGCCGCGCTGAATCTCGGTTCTGCCTGTGTATGTTCTTCCATGTTCACCAGACAGCCCATCGGCGTGTAAGTATTCTTGTCTGTGAACACGGACACGTATGGACGTGCACCGCGATTACGTCGGCGGCGGCATTATCGGAAAGTGCATTACTGACGCCTGCCCTCGCGCGGATCTCTATCCCTGTACGCGAGATGCACTCAGCATGAGCACGTTAAACGGCCCCTTACCTCCTGATCGGGACTCAACGAGATCAGCCCGGAAGGTATTGCCGACGTTGCGATGATGCAGATAGGTAGCTACAGATAGTTCGTTGTACAGGAAAGTTCGTTGTATATATGTAACCAGAAATCTCTACGCTTGAACGGTAATGT